TCAGTGAATGAATTAGACCTCTTCATAGAGGGACTGAATAAGGAACCCCTCTGGGTTTCACATGTTTTTTCATTTGAAATATAAACTACAAGTTACCCCCCTGAGAAATGGAAGCTTGTTAAATCTCTAATTTGTTTTCATAACCACCTCTTTTTCACATTTTATAGAACATCATCAGACATCTTTTCGGAGTACGTGTAGGAGATCAAAAAGAAGTCAGGATGATCGTCAAGACTGTTATAGTCACCCTCATTGTTGCTGGTTAGTATTAAAAGTTATATTTATACAATGAGAACAAATCATGGAGACATATATGAATGAATTCTGACCAAACACTTTCGTACCAACAGTATTTTACAGCCAGCAAGCGGAGGGACTCCTGCAAGCCAAGTGTCCTGGATACACTACTATGGCTCCAACGTCCACCATAGCTGCCACAACAGACATCCCGGCTACAGGAGCCCCAACAAATGCAGCAGCCACCGAGGCAAACCCCACAGGACCGTCACCTACAGGAGCCCCAACAAATGCAGCAGCCACCGAGGCAAACCCCACAGGACCATCACCTGCAGAAACTTCAGCAAGAGCAGCAGCAGTAGGAACAGCCACAGCAGCAGCAATTGCAGCAACTTCAGCAGCAACAGCCGCAACAGTAGCAGCAGCCACCACTGGACCCACAGCCGAAGCAGCATTAGCTGCCGCAGAGGCCGCCTCAGAAGCTGCAGAGGAAGCAGCATTGGCTTCCGTAGCCGTCCAAAATGGAACTCTGACACCAACTCAAGCAGCAAAAATTGCCCAAAAAGCTGTAGATGCCGCCAAAGCAGCAGCAGTAGCAGCACAACAAGCAGCTGAAACTGCACCAGCATCTACATCAGATCTTGCACACTCACTGGCAGAGCTATTAACAAATGCAACACTTGCAGCAGACAAAGTAGAAGAAGCCGTAGTCAATGCTGCACAAGCAACAACAGAAGAAGCTGCAGAGGAAGCTGCAGTGGACACAGCACATGCCACAAAAGATGCAGCCAAAGCTCTAGAAGAAATACAAGCTTTCCTTGCAGCTGCAACAAACATTCCAGAAGAACTGAAAGAATCTATCAAAGCAGCAGAAACAGTCACAGAATTGACTGCAGAGGCAGCAACTAAAGCTAACGAGGCAGCAGAGGCCACAAAAGCTGCTGCAAATACAACAGCTGAAGAAGCAGATACACAAGTAGATGAGAAGGAAGCTCTATCCACAAACAACGCAGTAAAGGCTGCAGTGATTGCAGCAAAGGTCGCGACTGAAGCCTCAAAAGCTGCATTTCCCAAAACATTGGCTCCAAGAGCAGCAGCTACACTGACAGCAGCAGCAGCTTCTGCATCAGCTGCAGCAGCGTCCACAGCAGCAGCCGCAGCAGCCGCAACTTCAGTAGCTGCTGGAGCAACAACATCTCCAGATGCAGAAAAGGCTATAATAGCTGCAAAGGAAGCAGCCAGAGCTGCTGTATTAGTGGCTGCAGGAGAAGAACCAGCAACAGTGGCAGCAAAAGCTGCAACAAAAGCTGCTAAAGCTGCCCGAGCAGCAGCTGAAGCAGCAGTACAAGAAGCAAACACAGCACCTGAATCTAGAGCAGCAGCAATTGCAGGACTACCAGGTGCAGCATTAATGGCAGCAGAGGCAGCTGAAAAAGCAGCAGCAGCAGCAGAGATGGCAGCCTTGGGTAAACCGACAGCAATCATTGAGGTTGCAGAAGCAGCAGAATCAGTGGCCGACACTTCAAGTAATGCAGCAGAAATCTTAGAAACTAAAATATCCTCTGCCAGTGATCCAGAAGCAGCAACAAGGCTCGTGTCAATGTCAGCAGCAAAAGCAGTGGCAGAAATATCAGAGGCAGCAGCACAAACAGTATCAGCAGCAACTGGAATGGAGACAACGGATGAAATTGCAGAAATCATGAAAACAGCAGCAGAAGCAGCAGGAAAAGCTGCAGAAGCAGCAGCAACAGCAGCAAAAAATGCACTACCAAATACAAACATCATTCCTTTGACATTGCTGCCAACTAATCAAGTGCCAACAATATCACCACCAGTCACAGAAGAACAAGCTGCGCTTGTGACTACATCCACTGCAGCAGCAGCAGCAGCAACAGCAGTAGCAGCTTCAACAGCAGCAGCCGCCGGAGTACATGTGTCTGAAGCAATGAAAAATGCAGTAGAAGCTGCAGAAGTAGCAGCCAAAGCTTCTGCATTATTGGCTGCAGGAGATACAACAGTAACATTAGCAGCAAAAGCTGCCACAGATGCAGCAGATGCAGCAGAAGAAGTTGCACTAGAGGCATTACAAGCACTACAAAATGCACCAGCATCTACAGCAGATGTAGCAGAACAGATAGCAGAAGCATCTTCAAAAGCAGCAAAGGCAGCAAGAGGAGCAGCAAGAGCCGCTACCATGGCTTCACATAAAGTCACACCAGGAGCAATTACAGCAACTGCACAGGCTGTAAGAAGGGTTGCAAGAGAAGCAGAAGGAGCAAAAGAAGCGTTGTCAGCAGTTACAGATGAAATAGCAAAAGAAATGACAGAGGAAACACAAGCAGCAGTTGTCATAGCACAAACAGTGGCAGATATGGCAGAAGCGACAGCAATTACAGCAGAAGCATCAGCAAACATTGCATCAACAAACAACACAAAAGTAATGATGTCAACAGCAAAGGCTGCAGCAAGATCTGCAGAGGCTGCAGCTGGAGCAGCAGCAGCTTTATTGTCAATAGCTTATACAGAATCAGCAGGAAATGCGACAGCAAGACCAATTACCTTTGAGACAACACAAGCTGAAACTGCAACAGGAGGGGCTGCATTAGAAGCTGTAAGAGCCAAAGCACAGGAAACAGCTGTAGCTGGAATGACATCAGCAACTGCAGCAGTAGCCGCCGCAGCTGCAGCAGCTGCAAATTCTGCTGGAGCAACGGAAGAAGCAAAAATTGCTGCAAAAGCTGCCAGATCAGCACAAATAGCTGCTGCATTATTGCAAGAGGGGTCAGTACCAAAAGAATTTGCTGTAAATGAAGCAAGAAAAGCAGCAGAGGCAGCAGAGGCAGCATCACAAGCAGCAATACAAGCCGCAATAGAAACAAGACCAGAATCAGCAGCAAAGCAAGCAGCAGAAGTAGCAGCATCAGCTTCACAATTAGCAAAAGCAGCAAAAACAGCAGCAGAAACTGCAGCAGAAGCAGCATCTGATAATGCAGACCAAAAAGAGTTGAAAGCAGCTGCAAAAGCTGCCAAAAAAGTTGCTATGGAAACAGAAGACGCATGGGGAAAATTAGACAACGTGTTATCAGCCATTCCAGGGCCGACAGCTGAGGAGAAGGCATCAATCCAAGAGGCCCAAACTGTGGTCAAGATGGCTGAAACAGCAGCACTGGCAGCAGAGGCAGCGATAGGAACAGCAGCAGGTGCAGTGTCAGAACCAACAGCAGAAGATGCAGCAGACCTGGTAGCATCAATGGCAGTATCATCAGACGCAGCAGCATCAGCCGCCTCAGCAGCAGCATCGGGTGCAGAAAGAGCCGTGTCAAGAGAACCCCAGGCCAACACAGCAACAGAAGCACCAGCAGGATCTGCAACAGGTGCCGGAGCAGGAACTGGCACTGGCACTGGAACTGGTACTGGCACTGGTACTGGTACTGGCACTGGCACTGGCACTGGCACTGGCACTGGCACTGGCACTGGCACTGGCACTGGCACTGGCACTACTTCAAGTTCTTCCGCAGCAGGATCAGGATCAGGAGGGTCCTCGGCAACAGGGAATGCAGTGAACAACAAAATCAGCATCATTTCTGTCACAGTGGCTGTCTTAGCTGTTGCACTCTTTTAAAGACCAGCAAATTTTTATTTGTGTTTCACGATTGATGGACTCTTTTTGAACGTTAAATGCAGAGATGTATTTATTTCTTTTCCTATATCAAACTTATACTGTGTATTTTTTTCACTATGCAAATCTAATATTTTACCTTTTAAAAGCCAGGTTAAGAAAGGTTGATTCGTCCTCTCACTTTACTACCTTTACTAATCATTAACAGTTGCAAACATAGATGATGTTGAATCTTTGAAATAGGTGTAAGTTATTCTATTTATTGTCCTATTTATTGTGTACATGTGTAAATTCCACTGTTCATTGCTTGAATGACAAAAAGTGATTTTAGGATTAATGTCAGGTCAAGTGATTGAATGTGCGTGTGTGTGTGTGTGTGTGTGTGTGTGTGTGTGTGTGTGTGTGTGTGTGTGTGTGTGTGTGTGTCCGATCATTATATGAAGATCTATCTGAAGAAAGGACCTTTGTGATTGTATGAAGTGATTCAAATGATTCATGTTATTGTCATTTAAATTGTTTATAATTCATGATTCTGCAACCAAAAAACCCCAACAACAGATGCATTCATTCTTTGCACTTATTTGTGATGTTCACCTCTCAATTAATCAATAAATGAAGGTAAACTGTAAACTGGTCTCTTCTGTTTTATGCAGCCCTCAGTAACAGGAAGTGTTCATGTGACAGCATCAGAATCTTTCACGGTGTATGCTACAGAGATTACAGGTGCACTTTAGCAGCTACTGGGTCCATGTACCTTCTGTTCATTCTATTTCCAATGCTGAAACGCAAATCGGAAAACAAAAAAACAGGCATTTTTCTTTTTCAATGTATGGAGCAGATTTTAAAACAAACAAACAAGAGCTGTTTTCCATTAAAATATAGCCATAAAATTGGCTACATAAAATCCAATCTATGTTGATCCAAAATGCAAAAAAGCGGGGATATCTGTATTATTACCGGTATTATAAGGAGAACCGGAAGCAGTATTTTATCTTTTTTTCCCGTGATTAGCACGTCTTTAGCACAACAGTAGCAGATTCGGTTGGCAGGAGTGTGAAGACTGGACGAGATGGTGTCACTCGAGCCCTCTGGACATTTAATTAGAGAAATGATTGCTCAAAATCTCTCGCACGTGGATATTTCCACAAATTTATTACAATTAGGTGTGCAGCAAGGATGTTCTGAAATGAGTGTCAGGAGATTTTGTGCACATCACAACATTTCCAGGAGGGGACATGTATCCGACACACAATTAGAGGTTGCTATCAGCAGAGCAATAAATCAGGTAGGCCTAAGTTATTTTGGATTTCTTTGATTTACAGAGGTGGGTAGTAACAAGTTACATTTACTATGTTACATTTACCTGATTAAGTTTTTGGATGAATTGTACTTCTAAGATAGTTTTACATCATCTCCATACTTTTTACTTTTACTTGAATAGATTTGTGAAGAAGAATGTACTCTTACTACACTCCATTAGGCTACACTGAGCTAGTTACTTTTTTCTTTACCCATTCACTATTCTACGCATTATTATTATTATTATTATTATTATTATTATTATCCCCCCTACGCATCAATTTAATGTTTTATTTTGTCAGACAGAGGGACTTCCACCATAGGCTCTACCACCTGACTGTGTTTCAGCAATCACATTTGGAAATGTGTGTTTCTTGTGCTGTAATTTGTTATTTTGTAAATATTCAATTTATTTTTCATTTTTATTTATTCTATTATTTTATTGATTGGAAGTACTCAAATTTACCTGAAGATTAGTATTTTGTATTTTTTTCTGATTAAATGCATGTCTTCACAAATTAATCAGATGTTACTCAACAGTTGCTCAGTACTTCAGTAGTTTCCCCCCCCCCCCAAGTACTTTTTTACTCTAACTCAAATATTATTGGATGACTACTTTTTACTTCTACTTGAGTCATATTATGCTGAAGTAACAATACTCTTACTTGAGTACAATTTTTGGCTCCTCTACCCACCTCTGTTGATTTATTTCTAGACTACGTATATTTTATGAAATATAAATCCATGAAGACTAGGCCTACATGTTACAGCTTACTTATGTTGATTCATCAGACAGGGTCAACATATGGTCGAAAGATGATGACCGGGTACCTGTCTGCAATGGGAGTGGTTGCTGGTGAACGCCGGGTGGGGAAGATTTTGAGAACAACTCATTGTCCCTATCACGAAATGCGCAAACGTGTAAGTATCTTTTGCAGCCTTTAATGTTGTGGTATATTGTATAATGTATTTTACTAGCTAACTTTTACTTACTTTTCCCCCAAAGGGTGCACGTAACCTTAACCCCGTCCCCTACAGTGCTGCATACATGGGACACAAAATCCACATCGACCAGAATGAAAAATTGGTCATGTTTGGAGTGACACATGTTCTCGCAAAAGATGGGTACAGCAGTAAGGTCGTTGCCCACACAACCATGCCAGTCAAGAATAACCTCACGATATATGAAGAAGTTTACAGGTTAGTCCAGTACTTCTTAACTTTTCTTTTCTCAACCTTTCTCTGATTTCAGAATCCAGGGCAAAAATTCAGGCAGGCGTAATTTTTTTGTGAAAAAGTCCATGGAAAAGTTAGTCTTTATACATACGTACTTTTTTTTTTACTTTGTATGTAATATAAAGACTAACTTTTCTCACAACTTCACTTTTCTGCAAGTTTTTTTGTGACTTTGTGACTTTTTTCAATTTATTTGACATTTTTTAAAACTGTTTGTGACTTTTTAGAAAAACGGTCGAATCCATATAACAAACTATTATACGTTATATGGATTCTAACGGTTTTTTTTTGTCTTTTTTATTTGTGATAGGCATACTGACCCATTATTTCTCAAATGGGGGTCCGTGTACCCCAAGGGGTACTCTGAGGTACAACAGGGGGTACATTTTGGATTGACCAAAAGCACTGTAGTTGTTAAATAATAAAATGAATCCTGAAAAATACAGTGCTTTCGGTCAATCCAAAATGTTAATAAACCTCAAACCTGAAAGTAAAAGTAAGGTTTTGGCTTTCTTAGAATCTGTGTGCACAATTATTAGGCAACTATAAGTGTGTAGAACTATTATGCAACTGAATGAAAAATGAAAATGTTCCCATCTCACCTGTTTACATTCTTCTGTTAAAGTGAGAATAATAAACAAACAACTCAAAATTTCCAAATAAACATTTCTGACAGTAAAAAAAAAAAATCTGTGACCAATATAGCCACCCTTCTTTTCAATAAGTCACAAAAACGGTGCACTAGTAGATTGCAATATTGTTGGTCTATCCTACATTGCAGACTCAACATTTGATGAGTCAACATTTGATTGAGTCATGTTTCACTATTTTACAGATCAGCAGTTCTTGGATGTGGGACCAGGTCAGGGTGGACCATGGCCGGGAATTTTACTTGTCCCTCTACATGCAGGAGATGCTGTCTAACCACAGACACAACTTGCAAAGGCAACCATATTGCCAAACTCAGTCAACAAAGGTGAGGTAACGGTCTCCTTAATGTACAAAATGTGGGAGGGGGGGGGGGGCCCTACGAGGAGATCTGGCAAAAAAACACTGTGGTGAGTTGAATATCTATAGCATATCACCCGATAGGACACAACTTTGTGCAAACCGAAATATCACTTTAACCAGATGCACCCTTGAGTGGGGGTGCTTGTAGGTACCCATACGCATCAATGGTCCTGCTCCTTGGACTCCTAATCAAACCTCTTCATACTGTCTGTAAACTTTTTACATCTGATATAATCCTGTTTCCTCTCACCATGTTGATTTTGCAGACTAAATGTAGTGGGGATTCTTTTAATTGAGTATTGTTTTTATATTATCTACCTTTTAGTTTAAAAAAAAATCTACCCTTTTCTTGTCTACAGAATCATACGGTAGAGCGAACGTGGGTAGAGATAAATAACCGGGTAAATTACCCAGTGAAGGAGGCCCTCATACAGCTGCAGGATCAGGAAGTCCTCAACATGGATGACAACGTGACTAGATACTGTACATCTAACCTTACTGCTGAGCTTTGCAAGATTGGTATAACAAGAGCTGTACATGCATGGAATGCACACAGAATCCCAGGTGAGTTAAATAAAAAAAACATGTATCACACAATCCAGTCCTTTTTTGTGAACTTTTATTTTAAAGTTGACAGTGAATTTTAACAATAATGACATTTTGTGACCTATGCTTTGCTTCACAGGCAAAGGAACACCCAATTGTTCGGCAGCAGGAGGATGTCCAAAAAAACTGGGAGAGGAGTTGTTGCCACGTGCCTCCCAAGCAGCAGACATGTACCAGCAGGATGTTGGCTCTTCACTGACTAGAGTCTCCTGCTTTGGAACTGACCCCTTCTCAACTGAGGAGGACAAAATATCAGCAGAACAACTTTTTGCTGTAGAGTACCCTGATATTTCAGTTTTATTAGATTATGTGGTAAACTATAACTTTGTACCTTTTCAAGATGCATTGCTGTATCTGATAAACATTACGCAGCAATATGCATGAATATGTCAAATAAAGACAAGTTGGTTCTGGATATACTGTATATTTTGTCACTTTCCTTTAACAAATAAAATCAAACACTTGCTAAAATTGCAACAATAGCAATGTTAAACATTACACAATATTTGTCTTAAGTGCAACATGAAATACAAAAAATGTATAAAAATAAAACTATTCTGTATCCTCTACAGCTGTTGAACAAGTGCAAAATTACAACTGACTTTATAACAAGGCAATTAGCTAGATGTAACAGAGGTAATGAAGCTTAAAGCATAGAATGTGATACAATCACACTTAAAGGGTTAATCCATCTTAATTACACCAGCCAATATGGAGAGAACATTGTCAAGACTGGTCAGCCTGTGTACATTGACAGAACTCGTGCCCTGCATTTGAGGCACTGGTCGGATGTCAGCATCCACTGGTCAACAGAGTTTTTGCAGCCAACAAAGCTTTTGCAGCATACGGCAATCACAGGCTCTTCCATTAGCCCTGTTTGATGAAAAAAATAAAAAGGACAATACATATGCAATATTAGAGTTCAATATATTATCTTGTCTTTACTTAAAGGAACAGTTCACCCAAAAATGAACATTCTGTCATCATCTATTCACCCTCATGCCAGTTAAAACACAGGTGTAGTTTGTCCATATAACACACAAGGAGGTTGCAGCACTACTGGAGAGCAAGTGGGTCTCCATTGACTTCAACACAGTGCATAGAAAGTCAATGGAGACCCACTTGCTACTTGTGTTTTAACTGGCATGAGGGTGAATAGATGATGACAGAATTTTAATTTTTGGGTGAACTGTTCCTTTAATCTACATATTACATATGTGTAAAAGCTTGGCAAGGGACAGTTTCACTATAACATGGAAAAGCAAAAATTAATGATTGATTCACTTGAACATTCAACTAGATCCTGCTTAAAAGGTAGATTTTAATATAGATCAAACAACAAATTATGTTAGAGACCTTTGCATACAATACAACCAAAGGCATCCTTCATGTGTGTTATCATGGTGTTGATCAGAACCAGCATGGTGCCCCTGGTGCTGCTGGCATGTGTTGACAGGTCTTTTATGACTGTGGTGACTTCACTCAGTCCTTGAGCAGCCAAGATCACTTCTTCTATTTTATCATGGACCCCCTGAAGACCTGTGGAGTCCATATCTTTATTACTACAAGGAGGGTTAAAAACAAAAACAAAAAACAAATGTATTATACAATATTCATATAACTCTTTCTTGTTTTTTTTTTTTTTTAAGAGAGATGTTATTTAAAACAATATAAAGACAAATATTGAGAGGCAGTAACTCAAATGTTTACCTCAGTTTCTTTCCCTTTGTTCGTTGCTGGAACTCATGGAAGATCTGCTCTGGGACAGCAAGAAACTTTTTTGCATTTTGCTTCCAATACTTGGATCCTAGCAAGAGAGGAAGACAAATCATGTAACAGATATAATGTAAACACATTTACAGCTGAACAGAATACTTTGTGGGTCCAAAAAATTAAGAGATAAAGAGAGCACAGTATTGAAGTAGATGGGGCATGTAGTTTATCAAACAAAGCATTTTCATTTATTTTTATGCAATTATTCATTTTTTCAATTAGTACCTCTTGTCCTTTCGGAGTCCACAATCTCATTTCCCTGGGCATCAGTCAGGATGAGAGGGTCATCACTCTGCAGGGCATCATGTATTTTTGCAAGGATACCTATGGTTGTGGCTTCAAACTCAAACAGTCTGAGTACAACCATAAGGGCAGGCTTCAGTTTCCCCTGGCTGAGCTCATTTGGGAGTGGTTTACATCAAGTCAAATCAATTAATTCCATCTCAAACACATAGCCTACATTACAATTGATCCAACTGCAACTGATTCAAGTTTTAAAATTATCTTGGTTACAAAGGATCACAAAAACAAATACAATGATGTTGATGTATTCTTATGTAGCTAGCCTTGGCCCAAACGAACCCCCTTTTTAATATGTAGCTTGCTAGTCAAGGGTAGGGGCTCTGAAGGGATGGAACTGGGGGTACCTTTGGAAGGTGTTACTCATGCTTGCTCGCGGGGTAGTGGGAGCAATGGCCTGAGCAGGTGATCCTAGAGCAGCAGTGGGCTGTGCTATACGATGGAACTGGAAACGGTTCTGGCCTGACAATGGAGGAGTCTGCTCGGCGACTTGTAGAGCAATATCATCCCCATGAACCTCTTAGTGGCCACGAGGTCTAAGGTCCAAACAGCCGAAATGTCCAGCCGATTCCGGGAATATCGCCACATTGTCATCATCAGTTATGTACAGGCTAGGAGCATATACCTTTGAAAGAAAACATTGAGAAGCCTTAATCAGTCGGCTATTCGTGTGCTATGCATAGCATCCTTTGATTTTAGCATGTTCTCCAAGCAAACGAAAAAAGTTTTACCTACCTGGAATATTCTGGCGATTTTGTCTCCAATCATGTCGTCCTCCTTAAGCGTTAGCCTCTTGTTTCCTTTAAAAAGGATATAACTGGTTGAGTCAATTGCGCACGAGGAATTGTTACCGTACCGACACCAAGTTGAAATTAAACTAGACGAGCACCGTGACCTTCCTGACCCTTCCTGACAAGCGGACCAATCCGCGCAATTATTTATTTATTTCCGGGCCACAGACTGAAAAGCGTAAAAATTGAAAATTGAAAATGGAAAAACTGAAATTTAAGGCTTTTCCCCGAAAACTAAAATTTGAGTCAGAAAATGCAATAGTTTTTTAAAAAAAGGGTAATTAAATAGTTGTCCGATTTGCGTTTCAGAATTGGAAATAGAATGAACAGAAGGTACACGGACCCTATTGTATAAAACTACAAATTTGCAGCTTTTGGAGTTTAAAAAAAGGGAAATTCAACATTTTATTTGTTTCCA